CAAATTATATTCTACGTCAAAAATCTTATTGGCCCAATATATTGATCAATGGAATAAGTTACCCAAGAGATAACAGTGCAATCCTATTCTAGAGTGCATATCAACAGTAGGGTTTACCACCTTGATGTTGGATCAGGACGTCGCAATGGTGCAACAGCTATTAATGTTTTGTTTGTTCAATGATTAAAGTCCTATGTGATCTGAGTTCAGACTGGAGTAATCCAGGTGGGTTTCTATCTAGAACCAATTTCTCCCAGTACAAAAGGATAAGAGAAATGACACCAACTTGCCCTAAGTGCTCTAACCACTGTTGTTGTTGTTGTTGTATTGCTTGTGACTCATAGCGACCCTATGTACAACAGCCCTAAAACCTGCTCTATCCTGTGTCAATCGCACTGCCTCTGACACACCCATCCCGATTACCCCAGTCACTGAATCAATCCGCCTCATAGAGGATCTTCCCCTCTTGTGCCATCCCTCCACCCTCCCAAGCATGATGTCCCTCTCCAAGGACCTGTGCCTCCTTACAGCATGTCCAAAGAATGTCAGATGAAGCCCCAGAATCCACGCTTCCAAGGAGCAGCCTGGTTTAACCCTCTCCAGGATGAATCTGTTTGTTTTCCTGGCAGTCCATGGTACATTCAATACTCTTCTCCAGCACCACAGCTCAAAGGCATCAATTCTCCTATCCTCCCTAGTCCAACTCTCTGGTGCATAACAAGTGATTGCAAAGACCATAGCCTGTATCAGACACACCTTAGTTTCCAGAGTGACACCATTGCTCTTTAGTACTTTGGAGAGGTCCCTAACAGCAGACTTTCCCATCGCAATATGTTTTTTGATTTCCTGGCTACTGGTGCCAAGAGTGTTGACTGTGGATCCAAGCCGATCAAAGTTGTTAACAATCATAATCTCTTCACCATCCATCCTGATGCTGCCTATTGGTCCAGTGGTGAGAATCTTTGTCTTCTTGACAAGGAGCCTCAGTCCATACTGAAGGCTGCAGTCCTTGACCCTCTACAGCAAGCATTTCAGGTCCTCCTCAGTTTCAGCAAGCAAGGTTGTGTCATCTAGGGTAGTGTCATCTGCATAATGCAGATTGCTGATAGATCTTCCACCAATCATGACCCCACATTTCTCCTCATAGAGCCCAGTCTCCCAGATAATCTGTTCTGCATACAGGTTGAAAAGGTATGGAAACAGGACATATCCCTGGCATACACCTTTCCCAATTTTGAACCATGCAATGTTTCCTTCCTCTGTTCTGATGACTGCCTCTTGGTCCAAGTATAAGTTTCACATTAGGACGATCAAGTTTTCTGGGATTCCCATTCTTCTGAGTCAGTCACAGGTTGTTATGATTCACATAGTAAAATGCCTTGGCATAGTCAATGAAACACAGATAGACATTGTTACGGTATTCCCTGCTTTCAGCTAAGATCCATCTAACATTAGCTACAATATCCCTAGTATCACGACCCCTCTAAATCTTATATGTTAATTTATCTAAATTTAGAACATGTGTTCAAGTTAACCCAAGAACAGGGTATCTTAGGATGGCAGAGCCTGGTAATTACATAAAATGTAAGCCTTTATCATCAGAGGTTCAATTTCACTTCTTATCAGTGTATATTATTAACCTAATTTCCTTAATTTTACCAATCCTTCTAGCTTTCCTAACACTAGTTGAACATAAAGCCCTCGGGTACATACAATTACTTAAAGGCCCCAACTCTCTCGGACCCTATGGACTTCTTCAACCTATTGCAAATGCAATAAAACTATTCATTAAAGAACCATTGTATCCACTCACATCCTCTGTACTTATATTCACCATTGCCCCATCCTAGCTTTAAACCTAGCCCTGACTATATGAACCCCACTTCCCATACCAATCCTCTTAGTTAACACAAACCCGTTGTCGTTTTTGATTGCCTTGGAGTCGAGCATGACTCATAGCGACCCTATGAACAAAAGGCCTGAAGTCTTTCTATAACTATTGGCATTTATCAAAGTTCATAGTGTTTCTGGAGACATGTTGTTTAGGAAATGAATGCCACTCCTGCTTCCAAAACTCAGGCCTCCTATTTGTTCTAGATCTGGGTGAGCCTCAAACTCAAAGTATGTCCTAATTAGGGCCCTATGAGCTGTAGCCCAAGCAATCTCCTATGAAGTATTCCTAACTGTTATCCTATGCATTAATACTCTTAAGGGATCCTTCACATTATCTATTCTTAGCACCACTCAAGAATTTACCTGACTCATCTTCCCTACCTGATCATTAGCAATAATATCTCAACAATAGCAGAAACTAACTGAGCACCATTTGACCTCACAGAAGGAGAGTCAGAATTAGTCTCAGGGTACAATATTGAATGTGCAGCAGGTCCATTTCTCTTATTTTTCCTTTTTGAATATGCTAACATTTTCATAATAAGTGCTCTTAGAACTATATTTTCCTAGGCCCCATCACAATTTCCTAGTATTTATTAT